TCCGACCTCAGACTCGGCTGCGAGGCCCGGAATGAGCACGGGGCCCAGAGCACCGCCGCGGTCCTGGTGTTGCTGCCAGGTCTGGGGGCTGTGGGGGAAGGGTGGGCAGAGACGGGGGAGAAAGGAGTCTGCATCCTGGAGAAGACGGTCTGGGTGGGCGTGGGGCCGGGGTCTGGATGGGAAGGGGTGAGAGAGAGGAGGAAGGAGGGGGGCAGAGTCCGGGTTTTCTGCAGGTTGGGGGACGAAGAACATGAGAGCCCGAGTTTGCGGGAGGCAGGGGCACAAGCGGCCTGGGGCTTGGAGGGGACTCACCGGAAACCTCACTCCTCTGCAGCGCAGCCTCTGCTTGGGGGAGGATTCGTTCTGGCGGCTGCCGGGGGTGCTGGTGTCGCTGGCCTGCTCGGTCTCTGTCCTTGCCTCATCTTCTTCATGTGAGTGTTGTCCCTGGGAGAGAGGGCGGGTGCGCGGGATGGAAGGGGTCCGCGTCCCACGGTCCCAGGCGGCCCCAGCGGGAGGAGCCCTGGTGGTGCCGAGGCTTCGAGATTGGGGCACTGGGGCAGAGAATCAAAGGAGAGCTGTTGCCGCCCTGATCACGCCTGTTTGCGCGGGTCGGCGGGCTCCGTGCGTCCCCTCCTCCGGCCGTGCTCAGCCTTGCCAGCCTCTTAAGCAGGGGGCAGTAGCTCACTCCAGGCTGACAGGTCCCGGCCTCCCCCGCAGAGTGAAGACCCGCAGGAAGCAGGCCCCAGAGACAGCAGCTGGCGGCAAGGAAGCTGTCTGCACGTTGGGTCCCATCTCCTGGGTGAGTGCTGAGCCCTCTGTCTGTCGGGGTCCCGTGTGGCCACCAACCTGGGATGGCCACGGCCACACCCTAGAAGACTTAGATGGTCATCGCGCTCGGACAGGCTTTTGGTCTCGGGTCCCCATCAACTCAGTCACCCAATCCAGCCACATGGGAGTCGCTTGCCCCTCTGCTCTCCGACTCACCTTGCAGAGCCAAGGACCAGCACAGCCTGTCCAGCTTCCTGTGGACCCTGGACCCTCCCCACCCCCACCTCCTCAGGTCTCTCTGGACCCTGGATCCACTTTCCCTTCCTTCCTCTCTCTCCTCCCTAACACAGGATGCCAGGGAGATCCCACCCCGCAAATAATTATTGCCAACTACAAAGTTCAGGGGTCCCCAAGACACTCTCAGCTTCAATAGCTCACCAGAAGGACTCCGAACTCACTGAAATCTGTTAGACGCCCACCAGGGAAGCTCACCCTGGCCGTGTGGAGGGTTGGTGACATAGGCATGGAGCCCCTGTATGGCTAATCTTTGTTGTTGGTGTCCAGCCCTCTAGAGGTCAAGCCGATACTGTGTGGCCCAAGGCCTCACCAGAAATCACGTTGTTAACATAAGCTGTTTGGGGCGTGGTGAGCGCTTGACCGCACAATCTCCTTTGATTGAAAAAATATATATATTTATTTTGAGAGAGAGAGAGAGAGAGAGAGAGACAAGAGTGCAAGTGGGGGAGGGGCAGAGAGAGAGGGGGAGAGAGAGAGAGAGAGAGAGAGAATGCCAAGCAGGTTCCGCACGGTCAGCACAGAACCAGACGCAGGGTCGATCCCACAAACCGTGAGATCATCAAGACCTGAGCCGAAATCAAGAGTCAGATGCTGGGTGGCTCAGTCAGTTAAGCATGTGACTTCGGCTCAGGTCATGATCTCCCTGTCCATGAGTTCGAGTCCTGCATCGGGCTCTGTTGACAGCCTGGAGCCTGCTTCGGATTCTGTGCCTCCCTCTCGGTGCCCCTCCCCCACTCGTGCTCTGCCCCCCTCTCTCTCTCTCTCTCAAAAATGAATAAACATTAAAAAAAAAAAGAGTCGGACGCTAAACTGACTGAGCCACTCAGGCGCCCCAACATTGGTTTTAATTGATTTTAATGTCTGTGCTACAATTTTGTTATAGAGTTTGCCTAAATTTCTGAGATGTGGAGTGGTCCCTGAGGGCAGTTCAGTTCTTCGCAAATCCCTGTCCTTTTCACACCACCCACCCCATTTCTGTGCATCCTATCTCAATTTGCTATTAGATAGTAGTATAATTGACCACTACCTTAATGTCAGTGCCCCCTACTGCAAGCTAGTGGGAGGTAATGGATGATGTCTACTTTGTTCCCCGTTGAGTAGCCAGGGTCTGACATGGGACAGCTCTTTCATAAGGTGGCAGGAACTGGTGCCAGAGACACCTGGGCATTCATCTTGGCCCTACCAACAACTAAATGTGTGATTTGGGAATATTTACCTAGCCTCGGTTTCTCCACCTGATGAATGGGGCTAATAATGCCTCCCTGATGGCTTGTGGTGAGGCATCTAGGAGCCTGGCAATTGATTACCAAGGGGGAGACATTCTTACTCTCACGTATTTATTGAATGAGTGAGTGAATGAATGAATGAATGAATGGGGGCTCAGCCAATGCTTATGGAATGAATGATGAAAGACTAAGTGGTTTCCAGCTTCCGGGCTTGCTCGTGGGTCCCCCTCGCTATCTGCCAGCTCCCGTTATCCTAATTTGACCCCCTTCTTTCCCCTCCACTCAGGGTTCCCAGCATGAGGATTGGTCAAGCACCCCCCTAGACCACCCGCCCCCAGCCATGGCCGCTCCCACCTCGGAGGAGGGAAAGGAGCCCCACTACGCTTCTCTCACCTTCCATGGGCTGAAGCCCTGGAACCTTCCGGACCCGGAGGCCACCAGCACCACCGAGTATTCAGAGATCAAGATCTGCAAGTGACGCCTCCAGCCAGCTCCTGCAACCGCTGGCTAGAGGGCTCAGGGCTTCTAAAGAAGGGACACCTCCGGGACAATTCCTGAGTGAATAGTTTTCCACAGAAACGGGTCGCCAACCGGTGTGGTGTGTTGGCGTTCACCTGTGTGGGGATGGGCAGAGCTGGGCTCACATTTCAGCCAGTCACCGATAAATTACAAGCCGGTGCAGAGAGAGCACTTTGCCCGAGGTCACGGGCTCTTCCCAGGGTAACCGACCTGGTCAGGAGGATTCCTGACCCGCCCTCCGCCCCGCCCCACTCTGAGCCTGCTTTCTGGAAACCCAACTTGTGTATTGTCACCACACGGAAAACCATTCCCGGATTTTCTGCAATAAATGACAGGTTATCTAAATTATATACCCTCCTTCTTTGTACGTCCCGGATGTTTTTGGTTCTCCTTAACAGTTGTTTCTTCTTCTTGTAGAATTCGCTTATGGGATTCCTTGCGGTTAGGATCTGTGTTTCATTTACATTGTAAAATGTGTTCACCTTAAAAGAAAAACTGCCAGCTTCGTTACCAACAAAAATGGGTTCGTTGGGGAAGAAAAGAGAATTGCAGTTGTGGGCACACAACTTGCAACAAAACCGTAGGTGAGTCTAGGGAAGGGAGAGGCACACGTTTAATGGAGAAAAGGGGCCAATGGGGGAAGGCTTGGAAGTATGCTGGCTTCCCATTGGCTGAACTTTGGGGGCAGGGGTGGGGATAAGAAAAGCCTCTCCGCTTCCCACTGGATTAGTAGAGCAGTAGCCCCATGCAAGGCCCACCCCGCACAAGGTCAGGTCGGTCTCTTCCGGTTGGGTCTGCAATTGACTATGCGTGGCAGTGCATTAGCGCTCTCGCGGCCAAATCCTCCCGACTTCACTGTAGCGCAGTTTCTTGCTATTAATTTTCACTATAGTTTTTACAGTGGTCACATCCAATTTATTTTTTTCCATTGAATGTCCGTTTAATCTGTTCTACTGTGTCCATTAATGAGAAAACGCGCTCAATCTTAGCATTATGGGCCAACACAGTGAATATGGGTTGACATAAAGTTAACGGTTCTTTAAATTTGATGTGTCGCGGCGCCTGGGTGGCTCAGTCGGTTAAGCGTCCGAATTCAGCTCAGGTCATGATCCTGCGGTTCGTGAGCTCGAGCCCCGTGTCGGGCTCTGTGCTGACAGCTCAGAGCCTGGAGCCTGCTTCGTATTCTGCGTCTCCCTCTCTCTCTCCCCTCCCCCGTTCATGCTGTCTCTGTCTAAAAAAATAAACATTAAAGAAAAAATTAAAAATTTTTTTTGATGTGTCAATGGGCACCTGGCCGGTTCAGTCAGTGGAGCATGTGACTCTTGAACTCAGAGTCGTGGTTTCGAGCCCCATGGTGTAGAGATTACTTAAAAATAAAAATCTAGGGGCGCCTGGGTGGTTCAGTCGGTTGAGCGTCCGACTTCGGCTCAGGTCACAATCTCGTGGTCGGTGAGTTCGAGCCCCGCGTTGGGCTCTGGGCTAATGGCTCAGACCTGGAGCCTGCTTCCGATTCTGTGTCTCCCTCTCTCTCTGACCCTCCCCCATTCATGCTCTGTCTCTGTCTCAAAAATAAATAAACTTAAAAAAAAATTTTTTTTTAAATAAAATAAAAATCTAAAAAAAAAAAGTGCTGTGTCGAATTGTATCCTTCACGGCACAATTTGCTTTGCTGCATCTCTCGATCAATAACTTTTAAAAATGGTGTCTCCTGAGAAAATAAGTGCATTTATTCTCATGTCATACCCCTTCTTCAACACTATATAGGAGGATTCCATTTGTTCCCATGCTGGGGGTTAGTGACATTAATGTAAAAGAATAAAATCCTTCAGGGATAAAATCGTTTTGAAAAGGGCATCGTGGAAATGCAGGAACTATCCACTTCAAGTCAGAAATTCTCTTCCTGTTCTAAGTAGTATCTCCTTTAAGAATAGCATTGACACAGGGTGCCTGGGTGGCTCAGTCGGTTAAGCGACCCACTTTGGATCAAGTCATGATGTCAAGGTTTGTGAGTTCGAGCCCCGTGTGGGGCTCTGTGCTAACAGCTCAGAGCCTGGAGCCTGCTTCGGATTCTGTGTCCCCTCTCTCTTGGCACCTCCCCTGCTTGCACTCTGTCTCTCTCAAAAACAAACATTAAACAAAAAATTTAAAAAAAAGTGTTGGCACATAAAGAGATAAATTTTTCATCAATTCTTTCTTTAACACATTCAAGATATTCTTGTAAACATGGAAAAAACACTTGGGACACGTGGGTGACTCAGTTGGTTAAGCATCAGACTCCTGATTTTGGCTCAGGTTCATGAGTTTCAGCCCTGCATTGGGCTCCTTGATGACAGCATGGAGCCTGCTTGGGACTCATCCCCCCACCCCCACCCCAGCCCCACCTTGTGCTGCCCCTCCCCCACTGGCTCTCCCTCTCTCAAAATAAATAAATAAACCTAAGGGGAAAAAAAACCCACAGAGAACTTAACATCATTTTCTGTTCTTTCAATTGGCATAATCCTATTGCTAACCAGATATCGGGTATTATTCTTTTAAAAAATATTTTTTCAATGTCTATTTTGGAGAAAGAGACAGAGCATGAGCAGGGGAGGGGCAGAGAGAGGGAGACACAGAATCCGAAGCAGGCTCCAGGCTCCGAGCTGTCAGCACAGAGCCCAACATGGGGCTCGAACTCACAAACTGTGAGATCACGACCTGAGTTGAAGTCGGACGCTTAACCGACTGAGCCACCCAGGCACCTCAAGAAAAATATTTAAGCAAAGAGAAATGATTTGTCCTTCTCAGATGCCTACTGGGGCCGTTCTTGGAGACATACTACATACCTGTGTGTATTGAAGGCTCAGAGGTGTCCTGCAGTAAAAATGATTTTAAAAAACCCCACCACCAGCACCTGCACCACAAACATCTAACTCTGGGCCAGGGTCTAGTTTGGGGGCAGAGGCGAGGCATAGAGGACAAAGGGTGGGCTTCAGCCACCATCAACCACATGGTGGCATGTGATTTCTACTCCCCTGGGCCATGTGATTCTCATCTAATGCCGATGACAGCACCCTCCTCTTTCAGAGGTTGGGGGACAAGCTGCCAAAACACACAAGGTCAAGGACAGGGCTCTGCAGACAGACAAAGGCAGGATCAGAGACCATGTGGACAGTATCCTAGATGAGAAATCCTCTCGCTGCCTGAGCAGCACTGGGTCCTGGCTGGCTTTGCTCGCTCAGAGACGAGGGCAGAGGACAGAGGGGCTCCCGGAACTGGGCAAGTGCGCTGAGTGTCCAGAGGATGGGAGGGCCAGGTGCTGACATTGAGACCGTCCTGTTACCTGATTTGGGGCCCTGAAGGGCAGCTGATGTCCCTGTAATGTTGTGGACTCATGAACAAAGAGAGGTTTTGAGCAGGAGATTTTCAGACGAGTTTTCTTTCTCGTTGAGGAACATCCCCTTCTGGAAAGCGCTACACACGCCTGCTTTCACCCAGGAAGTGATCGTCAGCCTGCCAATCTCCCCTGCCTGCCTTGGTCAGGCAAGAATCAGGGTGAATTAGAGCAGGCTCCTCCCCGACCCGGCCTCTGACCTCCCCATTCCAAAGTAATGGTGGACGATTCCAGATCTTGAAGACCGAGTCTGGGAGGTGAGCGTACCCTCCCTGTTCTGAATCCCTTCCAGTCTAGCCACTGGCCAGGCTGCCTCTGAAATCTCTCCCCAGGCCCTCTCTTCCTCCAGCGTCGGCCACTGCCTGGGCCTCACTGTCCCAGGGGGGCGGCTGCGCCAGCCTCCTCCACACTCTCTCTGTCCGGACTCTCTGTAAAGGTACCCCCAGCCCTGGGCCCCTTGGTCTCCATCACAGCACCATGCCTTTTCTCCAGCATGTGGAGCACAACTCAGTCATCTCATTTAATGCCTTCCCCTTCCACTGGCCTGGAGGTTCCACCAGCTCAAAGACCTTGGTGTGTCTTGTTCATCAGGATCCTCTGTGCAGCATGATGTGCGTCACACAGCACAAATTCAAGAAATACCTGCTGAATATTTGTTGAATTAGAGGAAGGATCAATGTATGGATGGGAGAATGAGGGGATGGAGGAATGGATGAAAGGTGGGTGGGAGGGTGGATGATGGAACAGTATATGGAAGGATGGATGGAGAGATGGAAGAATGACTGGGTGCATCAAGAGATGGAGGGATTGGCAGGTAGATGGCTGGATGGCTGGATGAATAAATGGATAGGTGGATGGCTGATTAAATGGATGGATGGATGGATGGATGGATGGATGGATGGATGGATGGATGGTTGGCTAAATGGATAGGTGGATGGTTGGCTAAATGGATAGATGGATGGATGGATAAGTGGATGGATGAATAAATGGATAGGTGGATGGCTGATTGGA